TTAGTGATGTAACGAATATTCGGTTACTATTCGGTATTCGGCCTATTCGGCCTATTTTTCACTATTCGGCCGAATACCGAATATTTAATCACTATTCGGCCGAATACCGAATACCTAAAAACAGGAGTAAGAAATAACAAAAACACAGTAAATTAATCATTTTGGTATTTAGATTTAATGTTATCGAGTTAGTGTTATTTGTTTATATTTATTTATAACTTGTAACATGCACAAAATTAAAAAAATAATAATATTAGTCACATGTATTCACAATTTATAATTACAAAGATCAGCACACGTACACACCTTATTCATTCGAGAATCGTCGCACACATCTGAGGGTCTGACCCTGCCTATTTTTTTTTTAAGCGCTCGTCTTTGCTCTTTCCTTTCTCTTTCCTCCATCTCTATAGTAGGCCTACGCATACATCATAATATGCGCTCACGATACTTTCGATTCGTCACTTTTCCGTCGTAGTTTTTCCATTTTATAATTAATTTATAAAATGGAATGTTTGCTTATGAAATATGATTTTCAAACATCTTATTTAAAAAAAAAAAACTGTTTGTAATCCTAACCTTTTTGAAGTTTATTTTAAGAATTTGATCTGGAATACATCAATATTATATTTTTAATGCATTATTTTCAAAACTTTCTCTAACGGAAATAAATAAAAGATAATCAGTTGTGGTCTTTGGGGAAGTAAAAGATGTCATCTTCACGTGATTATCAAAACCATCTGGTATTCCATTCCATTTTCACATGGAATATGAACAGACTCATATTTTGTAATCGATTTTCAACTTTTTAAAAATCATTAATCGTACCTAATAATGCTTTTTCTGACTAATTATCTTTTAAAAATGCTTTAAATATTTTTAAAAATTAATAAAAAAAAAAAAAAACACACACACTGAAATAAAGTTGTATTTATTCACTTTGATATCACAGAAACTTATGGGATATAATTTTTAAAAATATTATTGCATTGAAATTCTGTTGAATAACATGGCTAAACAGTTAGTTCATTCCATACTTTTAATAAGAATTATGATGGCAACACAGTTTTTTTCTGTTACACTTTTCAGAATCAATGAATCCTTTTTATTAATGGAATTTTTAGAAAGGAAATATTGAATACATTTTAAAAATAATATTTTAAACTAGAACCGCTCAATAATTTTACTTACCAAAATATTGCTATTGAAATATTTTAGAATAAAGTATACATGCAAAGAAATAAGAAAATTTCAATATAGAAACAAACCTATAACTTTATCTTAAATTAGAATTTTGATTTTTCACTTATGTTACATGTTTATTTCATCTCATTACAAATTAGAAAGTTTTGACATAAATAATATATTTACAATTATGTAAAATGATATAAATATTTGTAAATATTTTGTGTTTCCGTGCACTAAAAGAAATTCATTTCAATATAAGCAAGCAGCATAAAAAAAATTTAGTTCAAGTCGAATCCGTTACTTAGAAAATCCTATCTAAATTGCTGATATAATAGATAAAGGATAAACTATAATACTTTTACAGTATAGTATACAAAAAGCTGATCAGAAATTATTTCAAATTGATTAGGTCTACATTTAATATTGAGCTAATATAATAGCATTAATCTGACATATTAAACTATTAAAATAGCTGTAAAGCAGTTATTACAATGTCAAACAAATTTATTTTCTGTTCTATTTTAACGTGTACTAAATATATTTTTCGCTTCTTTTCCCATAATTTTAGAAATTTGAAATAAAATATTTGTTTCCACTTCTAGACATCATTTACTCTAAATGGTCTTCTCAATACTTTCGGATTGTATAAAAATATTTTTTAAACATTTGTATTATTTAATAAAAATTTTGTCATTTTAAGTTACATAAAACTTAAATTATATAATAGATAAATTTATNATAAATAAATCAAACGTATGTACGTAATATATAAAAGCTGAATTATTTCCGAGCTAAAATTAAGCTAATTTTAATTAATTAAATTATGCAAATTAGCTTAAAAGGTTATTAGCTAAGAGGCTAAGTTACCGTCTTGCATTAGGATTAACTCTTCTACTCTCATTGCAACTCTTATATATTGGATCCCTAGCCTCAACATATTTATACATACAGTATATAGGATATATATAAAATTCCATTTGAATGTAGGATGTCACTCATATATTTCTGATAGGTGGTATATACAATGATGTAACTAAGAGGTGAAGTTCGGCATGTGCTCGGGGCACAAAGACAAATCCATGAAATTAAAAGCTCAAAAGTTTTTCGTAATTAAGGGGCATCAAGTATGAGGTTTGTCTCGGAAATGCCAAAACTATTCGGCACAGCTTCTATCACGACAAGGTTTGATTGTCCTGTTACGTGTCAACCAAAAATGAGATCTTGCATAATTTACATTACCCAAGACTTGGAATAATAAATTAAATTAATAATAATCAAATTATTCTATGAATTTCAAAACAGATCCAGATTTGAATTTCATAATATTAATACGGTCTAAAAGATTGCATAATTAATTTATTAAAATTACATGCTCATTTAATACATCATCATCGATGTTATTGCACCGTCGTGCAATGTACTAAAGTTTAATACATGACATAGAACTAAAAATAAGAATCTTTAACATAAATTTGAAATTAAAATTAGAAATAATATCGTATTTCCAAAGGGTCATTAGCTTATATTACAAAAAAAATCTAGTAAATTGATCAGTAACATAAAATAATCTCCCTTCTTGCATAAATGAATAACTACTTTTTTTAATCAGTCAAATAATGTATGTATTATGAAAGGATAAGTTCTCAAATATTAGTCAAGATCATGATCTTGGGCATTGACCCATAAGGGACTAATATTTACTCGATATCTTAAACGAGTCCTTTAACAAATGCATACAAAGTGATAATATAATATTCTCACCTTCAGACAAAAGAAAATTGAATGAAAATCTTCAAAACAGTAAAAATAAGATCAAAATCTTTCATGTAAATTTTGATAAAGTAAGAAATTTATATTACTGATTTGCATAAACTAAAATTTATCAATATAGGGCAAAGGCTCCTATTGCTGCTGCTTCCAGTAGTCAACCGCGTAAACCGAAATCTGCATGTAATTAGTCCATAGAAGCAGGTTTAGACAAGACATATTCACAGAAAGCATCATAAGACAATCCCATTCTCAATGACACATAACAACAATAGGATGTCTCACTCACAGCAATGAGAAAAATTATTACGCAACAGCCCTTTTGGAAGTCGATCACATAATAAGGCACGGTTGGATCTTTAGAAGATACCGGGAACTCTGTTTCAGGTGTGTATTTTCTTCAAAATTCCTATTATCGAGCTCGCTTATCCTTTCACAGTTTCCACATTTGCAAGGCTCTTGACAAAGTGTGCAGTCCACGATTAAGCTATTTTTTTCATAATGTAAATAAAGGTCTAATAATATATGTTTTTTCCCCTATGACAAGTAGAGAACAAACTTTATCTTCACATATGAAGTTTGCTCTTCATATTACTACATAATAAAAAATATCAAAGTCCAAACAGCTTTAAATGGTCAACTACTGGTGCCGTTACAACACGTATTTTTGACATAATTTTCTAAAATTATTTATTGTTTATTTACTCATATAAAAACAGTCCCAGAATAAATACATACATTCTCTAATTTCACCGCGGTGCGACACTCCGATAAGTAAATAAATTAAGACTTAATCGCTCGCAATGCCGAAGAGCGAGTAGCCAAACGTCCGTTACAATAAAAACATATTAACGAAGACAAACAGAACATCCTACTCACATTTAAACAACTCTTGGAATTACGATCCCTCCTTTCATTCGCCTCGCAGCAAATAATTTCAAATAAAATATTTACAGAATTAACGGCCGGAAAGCTCCTACTTAATTGTCCATGTTGGTAATCCCCGTAACAATTCCAAGTGGATAAATTTATCTTTTGCTATAAATACACACATTTAATTAATATTTACCAAGTTAGTTAACGAATCCACCGGTAGGAGTGAAGTTTAGTTAATTGGCTCGTAGGATGGCACACGGACAATTAACTAAAAGTAACTCCTACTGTAATGAGAAGGGATGCCATTAAATACCTTAGGTAATAATAGCGATACTCTCTTCTCATCTTTTTCCAGTAAAGGTTTAACGATTTTTATCTCTCCATCCGTAAATTTGGAGCTAGAAGTGCTGTTATTTTTATGAAACAAGACGGTGCCGCATCCCAAACGTTCTCTGAGTAAATCGGCGAGACGTCTTCTCTGCCGCTGGACCACTACAGTCAAGAAGGCATAACACAATGTTAGAAACATGATTTCGTCATTGGCACGTGAAACAGCTGATGCCGGTGAGTCATGGCGCGAATATTTCGTCTTCTACTCTCTTTTTTTATCAACTAGAAGATGTAATTCGATTCAAACTGGACGTCCGAACTGGCCGCTTCTCACACGCTCCGCTTCCGATCGGCCCGCTTTCCTACTATACTCGATGCTAATTCGTGTACTTTTATCGATTTTTTCCGTCTCCTCGTGTAAACTTAGATATATTAATACCGGTAGCTAATTTTCTGCTTCGAGTATGTGTATCGCGTGAGATTTATTTTGGTATTAAGTAAAATAAAAAATATGGCAATTTAAAAAATCCGTTCCTTTTTTCTTTTTTAAATCTTAGTTTCAGTTTTTAAGAAAGAGGGCGTTATGTATGTTAAGCCTAATTTAATTATTATTATTTTTTAAAATTAATTTTAAATTAAAAATATATTTAATTTTTATTATAGAAAAAAATATGTGATTTAGTCGAATAAAATTCTCATGCGTTAATGTATTTAGAATTGTTGTGATTGGTTTTAATACGTAATCCAAATTTACGTATTATAAATTTATGTGATTTGATTGGGTGTTTCAATTAAATTCAAATTTGAATTGATATAGTAACTAATTATTATGATGGGAAGGATGAAATTAGAATACTTTTATGTATTTTTAAAAATTTAATAATAAAATATAAACACAGTATACGATTTCAAAAATAATTGTAAATTGATCTTTGCACATTTATTTATTGAACATTTGTTTTGATATTTTTAAATTAATACTACTTAGGTGCTTGTGTGTGTTGTGTTGTGTTATTTAAATGTTGTAAGGTAGGTCTCCCAGTGGGCATATTTTACACGTTATATATAAACCATTCCCTCATCACCATTATCATATGGATCCCATGGGAGGTATCTCTATCAATGAAAAAGCAGACAAGCTTGCTAAGAGCAAACCTATCTCCCCAGAACATTTCCTCTCCATCAGTAAACAGGATATAAAGAAAAAATCAACCAACTTTTGAACCATTGGATCTCTTACCATAAAAGAGAAGACTGTCCATGGCTGGAAAAAACCTCCGACCCCATTTATGAAGATCTAGACAGACACACCACCATTCTAATCAATGGAGCTTGCATCGACCAACCACTTCCTTCCTAAAAGGAACATAGCCAGACAAGTCAAATGTCATCACTGTCCCTTCAAAACTGATAACTCCCTCTAAAGATTGGATGAATGTGTCGTCTTCCTAAAGATCAGGAATCTCCTTTTGACACTTTGGTCTGCTAGACTGTTGAGGTGACATAGCTGTGTAGCTACTGCCTGACCATAACTCAATCAATGAATCCTTCAAGCAATCCCATGCGGTAAAATTAAAAATACAGACATCATCTGCACAGACTCTAATGCCATCCTGGAAAGATTGAATTCATTGAAAAAATCCACTCATCCGCACGAAATAAAATTCTGGACTCGTTTCCATGTCTACTTTCATATGAATCTGGCTTTTTTCGTGTGTTGTCATCACCTTGGTCTTTTTAACAGGTGGAGGCCCATCACTTTCAACTTTAACATTTGCTATGAGAACTTGACTCTGCAAGCAGAGTTGTCATCAGCATAACACTATCCTCATTAATCAAAACCATCCTCCCAGCATCAAATTTCTTATGGACTCCCAGGCATGTAGGCATCACCATCAATGAAAAAGCAGACAAGCTAGCTAAGAGCAAATCCACTACCACCAACAAAACGAATATCATCTCATCAGATTTCCTCACTACAGTAGAACCCCTCTAATCCGTCACCTTTGGGACTGGGGGTATGGTCGGAACGCAAAAAAGGTCGGATTATCAGAAAAAAGTAAAATAAACAATCTTCCCTTTGTCCAGTCTTTGTAGCACTGCTAATTTTTCATTTAATGAAAGAGTAACGTGTTTACGTTTCACTTCTGACATGTTGAAAACACACACAAAACTGTACATGTACACACAATGTAAAACATATACTATAATGAACACAGAAGAACGCCACGGACGGTGAGTCACTGATGAGTCGGGACAAGTTTCTCGAGTCCGACCACGGTCGGATTAACCGGAGTGACGAACTAGCCGAGGGCGGACTAGAGGGGTTCTACTGTAGCTGCAAAAATGGTATGAAAGAAAAAGTGAGCCAAATATGGATCTCCTACCATAAACGGGAAGCCTATCCATGGCTAGAAAATAGCACCAACCCCAAGTATGAAGATCTAGACAGACACTATCATTCTTATCAACAGAGCTCGTACCACTTTCCTTCTTACAACCACTTCATGTATAAACAAAATCTAACAAGACGTGGTAAATGTAACTACTATCCTACTAAAACTGATAACACTCTCCATCCATAGATTGGATGAATGCATCATCTTCAAAAAAATCAGGAATCTCCTTTTAGAAAATTCAGACATCAAAACGGCATCAATAAAATTAGTGACTGCCTTGCGCAAATTCAAAAAAAAAAACTTTATGTACATTAAAAGACTTCTTCAATGAATATATAAAATACTATCAATACTAGGGAGTACCACTACTCCATCTGCTACTTTAGTTGGGGTGACAGCCATGTAGCTGCAGCCCAACTGCAACTCAGTCAATCAAATACTGTACAGTGAGTGACTGACCAACTTATTGGTAAATGAGTTTCCGAAATTGACATATTCTGTTATGAGGTAACAAGATTTTTTTTATTTATAATTATATTTAGTTACATCATTTTCCATTTTGTTTGTTATCTTTCCTCTTGAAAAACAGGTATGTGGTGTAATGAGAGTGGGCTTGTTTGGAAAGACAGAGTTGAGCAAGCAGTGGAAGGCTAAATAAATGAGCCAACTGAATGGCAGTGTGAGTGAGGATGAATACAGAATGAAGAAGTGAGAAGTTGCACGAATGATTAAGGAAAGGACAGAATGAATGAAGAATGGACTGAGTGTTTGCAAAGTGCATTTGAGAAAAATAGAAAACTATCATGTGGCAACAGAAAGAAAAGTGTACTTTGTGTACAAAGTGCAGATGGTGAGCTGGTGGGACAAATGTGAAATGCATAATAGTTGGCTTGAATATTTTGAGAGCCTGTTGATGAGCATTGGAGGTAGCACAAATGGAGGAACAGTTTATAGAGGTAAGGAGAATACTGACACCTAGAGTATCAATGTGTTTAGTAAACAAGTGCCATATTTTTTATAATGCAACAATTAAACAAACACAAGATGACTAATCTAAGCAAGGACCAAAAGCTTTTTCTTGTGAAGGCATATTACCAGAATGATGAACAGATAGACAGAGTACTTAGGGCATTTCATACTGTTTGGTACATCTGGAGACAATGACAGGACAGTTAGAATGTAAGAAAATGAGACTTTTTCATTTCTGAACAGTGGTTTCTAGCTTTAAGTTCCTATATCTCATATACTAATATGTACCCTAGATAATATCAAAGTAATATGACGTCAATAGGGTAATTCAAAATTCCTTGGGCACTACCATAGATTAGGGTGGGAAATTTATATATATTTTTTTTTTTTAAATTATACATGTTTTACTTAGAAACCTCTTTTTTTTTTTGTTTTAAAACAGTTTTATATTACATTATAAAATACTGTTTTAAAACAATGTTTTAAATTTAAAAAAAAAATGTTATATTACATAAATTTAGTAAATAAACTTTTTCTGACTTGTGAGCTAAACGTGAGCGTGGGAATGGGAATTTTCTCTCTCTCATGGGTCATAAAAGCATGTGACACGCGACTTTTATCACTAAGAGGAAATTTCCTGACAGCACATGCCAGTTAATACTGTTAGCAATACAGCTAATGTATTGTAATATTATTGGATGGAAAAAGACATTATTATCATCGTTGTTACTTGTTAAGTAAAAATGAGTGCAGGAAGAAGGCTTGATAATATCTGGAACCAGTACAAACTATTTTCTGGAAATCCAGGAAAACCGGCATGCAGGGTGCAATTCAAAATATGTAGGAAAGAAATGGTTCGATTAGTCGCTAGTATGAAAAAACATATTGAAGTTAACCACCTACAGGATGATATACAGGAATTGCAACAGCTGGATGAGTATTTTGAACCATTATAAGTTTTAAAATTTTCTATAGCTTGCTATAAAGTTTTACCTGGATCATAACTCAATTTGTATCTGAATAGATATTCTTTAGTTCTTTGCCCTAGTTATCTCCATAGTGTTATGAAAAAAACGGTCCTTTTCCAAAAATGTATGGGCTAATACATATACATTCTTATCTATGATCTATGAAAATTTTATTAATTACTTTTGCAGCAAAAATTTTTTATAACATTTTATTAATTAGCATATTAATTGCCTTGTTGTTTTTGTATGAGAGTTTTTTAATCAAAGTAATTAAATCGTTCTAAACTTTTACCATTCTTATCGTGTAAATGTCCTGGGAAAGCAGTCACCAGCTGTTCTCAATGTCAACTGGTTTGTAAACAATATAGACTGAATGTGTAAATTTTCATGCCTGTCAAATGAAAGAATAACAATCTCTGCAGCTATATTTATCGAATATAGTAAAAGCATTTTTTGGTTATTTTAACTTTTTCATGTAGTTTTTCTATAAAAGCACATTTTTTACATTTAATATTATTACTTTTATAGTGTTCAAAATGATTTGCAACAACTTGGGATCACTGGAGTCATACAAGCAGCCAAAGACAGATTTGATATGGCTATCATAAACTATCACCTTTTAGCAAATCTTCTGGACCCAAGATACCAGGGTGCAAAGCTCACAGACAGTATAAAAGATGCTGCACTAACTCTGTGTCATGCTTACTACCCAGATGCTATGCGTTCAGTTTTAAAATACTTGGCAAAAACTAGCCCATTTCTGCAACACATGTTTGCAGAGTCTGTGTTAACTAATATCACGCCTCTTACATGGTGACAGTCACTATGTGACAGAATTGATGAACCTCTTTTAAAATTAGTTACACAGCTGCACACAGCAGTGGCTTCTTCAGTGGGAATTGAGAGAATTTTCTCTACCTATGGACTTGTTCATTCAAAACTTAGAAATCAATTTGGACAGGAAAAGGCAGCAAAGCAAGTTTTCAAGCACCTAAACAAACACTACTAAGCATTGTACATTTCTGAAAATAAGAAATTCTTCAAGCCGCAGAAGCCACTGCTGTCAATCCTGTTTTGCTGTTTGTACATGCAAATCTTAAAAATGCCATTGCATAAAGAAACATTTAAAAATGCTATATGTTATATTAAATAAAACATTCTGCACATTCTCGAGTCTTAAACTGAAGTTTTTCTGTTTTGTTTTTTTCTTTTTCTATTTTACTAGATCAAGTGTTTTATTTCCAAAAAAAACCATGTTTTAAATGTTTTAAATCCGATGACTATATTTTAAAACATGTTTTTTAAATCATGCCAACCCTGCCCTAGATGATTGTCTCAACAACCCGGCCCTGAAATTTCAGTTTTGACTGCCGAATGGCTGGAAGAAATTTCAAAATATTTTGAAGATAACATTTTCTCAAGATATGCATGCTTACAAAATTACTGTTCATCAGAAATTTACCTAAGGTGCATAGGCAACTCAATTGAGCTTTGCTAATAAAATGACAGAAATATTTGTAAGAGGGACATTAGATGCCAATAAGATAATATTTATGAACAGTTAGCTATGTTAATAAGCAAAACTTTCAATTTTTGAGAACATTGAATCCACAGCTCACTGTGTACAATTCATTGCATCCAGTGAAGATCATAGCATGGCCAGCAATTACATTGAGTATTTATATTTAAATTTCATTGAGAACACAGTCACAGGTCCCATATATAAAAGTTTCTTAGAGACCAAATTGTTTCCTTGGTCAAGGAAAAATGATTTTGTCCAGAAATATCACTATGCAAGATAGTACTTCTCCTCAAAGCACCCAAGACACATTTAAAAGTATTTTAAACATATCAAGATCGTGTTATTGTATTAGACTACCCAAAGTTTGTGGGTCTCCTTTTTTACTGTCCTGACTTTTTCCTCTGGGGTTTTATCAAAGATAATTGTTACAAGAAGGGCCAATGAATGCAGAATTAAGAACCTTTTTAATTGCAGTTTTTAAGACTATTAAAAGTGATACATTAAAAAGGGTTTTTCTGGAGTTTGAAAAAAGGCTTGAATTTTGTGCTAAATCAGATGAGGAGCACTTTGAAAATATCTACCATTAAAATTAATTTAATACTGCATAACATACTTTTAATGTCTTTTACCCAAATAAGTTATTTGTAATGTTTAAATGCCATTTTACATAAAAGTGCTGTACTCATGAAAAAATCATATGTAAATATTGTTTATATCAGAGCTCTGCAACTGATGTGATGAGAGATGATGCTAGGTGTGTTGTGGCACAATGCCTCCAAGAAGAGGAAAAGCACAGGGTTTATAGTGGGCATGTGAATTGGATAAATACATGATTCAAAAGGGACAATGATTTGCCAATTACATGTTTATTTCCACTGATGATTATGACAAAGAATTCTACCAAGCTTCAAACTTTTACACCTTTACAGTTATATTTCACAGAATTTTTGTGAAGCAACAGGTAGGTTATGTATTGTATTCACCTACGATCAAAGGACCTTGATCATGTGCGTTTTAAGTTAGAACTACATGATATTCCACCTGGGGTGATTTCTGGGTTCTTAAGAAAAATTTGCTTGATTTATTTGATTAACATGTTATCGGCTACATTTTAGCTAATTAAAAATTTAAATTATTATGTAATTTGGACTAAAAGGTAAGCAATTAAGTTAGTCTTGTATTCAATTCAAAAATTAGAATTAAATTAATTAATATTTCGAAAGATCAATCTGGAGTAGATTTGTATTTGAAATTCTTGCTTACTGCACAGTTGAATTGCCAATTATGCTACACAAATTTTGTTAAATTTTTGCTTCAAGGCTAATTAATGCAAGAGATGCACCTGATAATAAATCAGGCTTATTTGATTAGTAATATAATTTGAGTTTAATTTCTTACGTTTAATGTATTTTTGAACTTTTAATAAAATTAAAAGGAATAAAACTTACAATATTTAAAATTTTTTATTACATTTTCCTTAATAATTCTTATATTTATCTACAACATATTTTTACACAGTACAGAAAACAAAATTTTTAAATATTTTCTTACTACAGAAATATCCAAATTTTTAAATTTTATATATATATCTTTATAATCTGTTGTTCAAATTATTTTTCTTCCAATCGAAACTGTATCACATATGCCATAAAGCATATATATATCCATATTTTAAGGCAAAATGTCAACAACATATTTTGATTTACATATAAGGGATTATCAAAAAAGTTTAGTATTTTGTTAAATTAGTGACGAAGAATGCTTTATTCTGTATTAGAATGTAGCGACATAATTATTAAGGAAGCTCCTGAAACATAAGTAGAATTTAAAATTCTTTTCTCAGAGCAAAAACTTCTTAGAGAACTAGTGCTTTCAGATGACAGTCCGTCATCAGGAGTCAACAAGAGAGACATTCTGTTGTTGACTCCTGATGATGGGCGTACAGCCGAATCTAGAGTATTCTAAGAAGTTCTTACTCCAAGAAAATAGTTTAAATTATATGTAGTAAGAAAAATCTTTAATCTCTGCTCTTAATTACAATTAAACAAATTAACTTTAATACAATTTAAATGATTATTTCTAACTTTGAAAAAAAAAGTGTGTTATTATTGTGTTTTAGGTTACAAATAATTGAATACTTTGGACAGAATTTTTCAGTTGTCAAATTAAATCAACCTCCTCCTAGCATTTCAACCTCCTCATAGAAAATGATTAACAGCATTTTTAAAAATATATCTTCAATTTTCAACTTTTCAAAATAGGAAAAATGTTTGATTATCCCTTGTATTGTCATGATTACATATTTTACAATACTTAACAGAAACACTTTAAACATTACATAAAAAACAAATAATACTATAAACAACAAACATTTAAAATGTGTGGAATAAAAATATAGAATGTCTACTTTATTAATAAACAGATTTCTATTAATTTAATTTTGACAAAATGCGCAGAAATACTATGAAATGTGAATTAAACAGTTAACTTTTTGATTTTGATAAACATTTGTAAATACCATTTATAGATTTCTGTAGCATTCTTTAATGAAACTGTTGATTTTTCAGTAAAGACTGTTACAGAAATCCATAATTTTACAAAGTTTAAATCTGATGTTTCCATTTAGTCATTAATATTCTGTTGGTTTCTCTCTATAATTATAATCATATTGTACGGTCTTCAGAAAAGCAAGTTTGTCTGTGGGTTCTGGAAGGAGGGTGGCAACGCGTTGTCTGTAAAAGTAATCTATCAGCTTTGCAGCAATATTATCAGATACTTCTCTGAGTAGAGATTGCGGAGGATAAACTCTTCCTTCGTTCATCTGTTCTTCTGTTACTAGATCGGCAAGAGCCTGAAAGAATAATTTTCAGTTAGAATATAGATTTTTTTCGCTTACAAAAATGTGAATATATAAAGTACTTGAGCCGCTACTAAAAAGACTTCATTGGAAATGTGGGGTACGTTAACGGATGTAACGGCTAATCCTACGGCTGGAAATATGTATGCATTGTTGCCTTGCCCCGGACAGAATGTTTTACCCTTGTAAGTAACTGGATCAAATGGACTTCCACTAGCAAATATACATTTTCCCTGGAGGAAAGAAATGCAATGTAGGTATATTATAAGAACAATTATGTGGAGAAATTAGGTTGCAAACATATCAAAAAGAAACTAGATTATGAAAAGTTAAGCACAAATTAATCAGTTGATATATAATTTAGATGTACTTTACTGTTATATTATTTTCAGATTATAATTATTGTATTACAACCATTTTATAATGGTTAGTTGTTAAATCTGATATTGGACATAGTTATTAAATATTTCATATGAAGATTTAATTTAACTTACATCAGTATAAGTGTAGGCTTCTTCAGCTGTACATTCTGCTTTGTCTGTAGGATTACTTAGAGCAAAAATAATTGGCCGATCACAGTTATCTAGCATTCCTTGCAATACATTTTTTGTGAATAGTCCAGTCTGAGCAGAAGCACCTATTAGAAATCATTGAATGTATATGTATATTTTAAAAATTTAAGATTAAATGCATTATACTTTACTGTTTGTGATATCGTTTATGAAGAATATATTGATATCACATATTCTTTATTCTTAATTTCTAATAATTTTAGTTTATAATCTTATATACAAAATGTGATCATTACAGAAACTGGTAGTACCTAGCAAAGCAGTTGGTTTTATAGTTTTCACCATCTCCTCCAAATCAGTCATGGGTTTATAATCTTTTGCATACTTTCCTTTATGGGCATCGATACCACCTGAAGGCCTGTCCTATATGAATAATTATTAAAATTAATAATTTTTTAAGTAAATAATGTATAAATTGCATAAAATTAATATTATTACAAAATATTAAACTGAAAATTTAAATATCTCTAAACAATTACCTTACTTTTTATGATGTGGCATATTACAAACTAAAATTTCACTAACTGAAAAATTAGTTCAGATACTATTGTGGCCATCGGCCATATAATTTATAGTTTTCTATGTAATATAAGTTAGTCTTAGAAACTCTTTTGTTCTTTATCTTGATTATTTTCTAAATTTTCCCTTCTAATCCGCTTACCCTTGGGGTGGGATTACCATTTCGAAGAAAAGCCCGGTGAACAATAGGAGGAAGACCCAGGGGGTCTTGCAGGAAGGAAAGGGAACTCATTCTTGTACCAGGACGAGAGAAGGCAAGGTGGTAGAAAGGATCGTCCTCGAGCAGCGTGAGAGTGCGTGAAGTGAGTGTGTTACGGAGAGTCAAGAAGGGACACGTGGTGCAAGGAAAAGAAAGGACGCTGACGACCAAAGGAGTCACGACGAAAACAAAGAGTGGTATCTCACCCCAGTACTATACGTACGTTAGGAAAGGAAACCCGGGTATTTCTGTCTTGTTCTATCTTCTCTCCTATCTAATCTTTCTTTCGATAGTTATAAGTAGGTTAAGTTCTAGTTTTAGATCTACACGCGCTTGATTGTCGGGTCACGTATAGCACGTGATATCTTTGTTGTAATAGACGGTAAGCCTGTACGAGTGTTTGTACTCGAGAAGTTGGGATCCATAAAGAACCTGCTTCGATTCTTTCTGGCGATAATAAAAGGGAACCGGATTTTATTTTATTTAATTAGTTTCTTTTATTTTGTGTCGGTCTGTTCGCGGAACCCATCACACATCGCTACAAGAATCACCACACTATCAAACTTCTTTAGAACACCTAACAGTTATTTATAATCACTACATAATTGAAAACTGTCACCACATGCAAATTCCTAGAAAATTATCTTTGCAATGATCATTCATGAAAGATCCTACTGCAAAGAAATCTTCATGCAAAGCAATAAAATTGTATAACTTTCTCAACACATTTATGAACCGTTTTTTGAATATGCTATTGTAGAACAAAATATTTGTAATTTCACTTCAATAAAATCTTTAGCATTTAGACTTAAGTTGCATAAGATAAATCTTCAAGTGCATGAACTGAAGTCATATAAATCTTGCAATCAGCACCATTTCCAGTACTTAGTGACTATTGCTAGGTTGTCATATGGCACTGCTTACCCCTGCCAAGGCTTTACAGTCATGATTTCCTCTTACATTTTCTTCCCCTATTATACAAATGTAAGGCAACAATAGAAATTTAAATACATTTTGTAAAAAATAGGTAAATCATGACTGATATTGACAAAGTTCAAAGACAAATAGATATGTATGTTTGGCTATTAAAATGGTACCCTCCTTGTTTCGACTGCAGCTAAAGTCTTTAAAACAAAAGGTTCTAAGTAAAGTCTTTGCTTAAAATTGCCACTGACAATATCCCAGCATAAAAAGACAATTTACAGATTAAATATGAGATATAAGAAGTGTTAGCAACAATTAGAAAATGAATGATTAATGTACACAACAACTGAATATTTTCTTTCATAAGTATAGCTGAAATTTTGTTTAACTTTAATATTTATGGCTTGAAAATAAGCCATAACTATTAATGAATTTAATCTAAGAGTAGATGATTAAGCTACAATCTTCTATTAATAATTAGAAATTAAATAAAAGAAAATTCTGAAAGAACAGATCAATTTAGAGTTTGAATCAAAGTTACGATTTCTGCTTACTATGAAGCATGTTTTAAGTAAGTACCATTTTGATATTAAAAAAAATACAAGTGCAGTTTTTTTCTTACATGAAAGCCTGTACCTTAATCTATTTTTCAACATAATTTCCTCCAATATTAAGGTACTTATCATATTGTACAACCAGCTTCTGAATTCCATCCTCATAGAAACTTGGTGCCTGATTTGCCAACCAATGCAGCATGACTATTTTGACATCATTGTAGTGCTGACCACCTAGATGCTTTTTCAACTGGAGGAACAAGTGGTAGTCACTAGGTACTAAATCAGGGCTATACAGAGAGTGATCAAGTTGTTCCCAGCTATATGATGATGTGAAGTTCATGCAAAATGTATATAGATCGATGAAGGAAAAACGTATTAATAACTAAGCGACAGTATAGTCAAACAAAGTATTTTATTTCGCATATATGAACAGGTTCTTTTGGATTCCAACTCTGCAGTAATTAATTACAATATGGCATCAAACAATATTCTGACATACAGTTGCAAAACTTATTGTTTACAACAAGTGTAAATGATGACCGAAAAGTATGACTAGTACTTGCGTACTAACTTAAAACTAGGGAAGGAAAGATGATAGGGGATAGAGAATCTAGGAAAACAGAATACAGTAAGGAGTGAAATACCCAAGGTTTTGCTGGATTTCACAATTTTTGAGTGGATACCACGTTGAACCTTTTCTGAAAAGTCTCTCGTTGTTGTCACCTCTAGGTTTCTCCTTGCACCTTGTTATTACACCTTTTTATCATAACTACGATAAAAATCAATTCTCAAACTTGAATTCTCCAGTCATTGCCATTTGCAACCTGCAGTGCCACATTCGACATTTGTCCACCATGAAGTCTGGACCCAAGAATGTCTTTCCCTTTTCTCACTGGCCCCAGGGCCTCTTTTCTTTCATTGTTCTCTGTGGTTCTAAGAATCGGTCACTCCACCCAAGGGAAAAGAGTTAGAAAGGAAATTTCTGGAAGGAAGAAGAAATGAAGAATAAAGGAGTGGACTATAACTATACTTTAATTAATATATACACTAATATGACACAGCCATAATGTAATAAGGTCTCAGGTTTGTTGAGCCATGTGTGGACGGCCATTGTCATAAAGCAAAACAATCCCCTTTCTGAGCTTGCCACGTCTTATGTTTTGGATTGCATGACACAGTCTAGTTAAGGTTTCACAATATGTCTCAGCATTTATTGTGTCACCCTGAGGCAAAAAATCCACCAGCAATACCCCCTGCCTATACTAAAACACGATGCACATGATTTTGCAGGCTGAAATTTTTGCTTGAACTTGACTTTCTTGGGTGATGTTGAATGCCTCCATTCCATGGATTTCTGTTTGGATTCTGGTGTAACTTGAGCCACCCATGTTTTGTCACCAGTGACAATTTGGCTTAAAAACTCATCACTTTCATCACTATATTGCTCGAGGAAAGTCAAAGCACTGGCTAAACATTTGGTTTTGTGCACATCTGTCAGCATTTTGGGTACCCATTGTGAGCACAACTTCCAATAATTTGAGTGGTTTGTCACAATTTCATAAAGAGCATTCCTTGAAACTTGAGAAAGTTATCAAAGATAATGATGAAATCGTAAAGCATGTTTTTTCGAACTTTTGCATCAACTTTCTGCACCAAGTCTTCAGTAATGACAGACAGTCACCCACTATGCTACTTGTCATGGACATTAGTATGGCCATCTTTAAATGCTCTAACCCATTTTCTTAGTTTAACCCAAAAAACATTATGAACAATGGAATTGCTCATAATGTTTTTTTGATATACCTCATTAATCTGCCAATGAATGCCAGTTGCTTTCACATCTTTTGCATTAAGAAAACGAATCACTGTGTACTTCACAATCAGTGAGATTTTCAATTGTCTGAAGCATTTTAAACATACACAAACAAATGAATGCTTCTGTAATGGTGATTGTGGCTAGCCAACAGGTGTAAGTACACAGCACACATTCGCAGAACACCGACTACAGCGCTGCAGTAACCCTATTTTAAAATGGTACTTACTTAAAATACATACTTTGTATATAGCTTTGCAGAAGCTGTAACAGTTACACTAGCTATCCACGATTTCATTCTGATCTCATCCATACATATACATTATTTAGATCTATCAAATAACCATACCAAACAAAGGCTGACTAACCATTTAACTTTCAGATCAAATTCACTTATTTAATTGTTTTTAAATAATAGAAATAAAAAATTTATTAAGATTATTATTATCCATATACAGTGGAACCCCGGTTAACGAACGTCCTGGTTAACGACCAAATCGGTTAACGAACTTTTATTTTGCAAAAATTTTGTCTCGGGTAACGAACAAAATTCGGATAACGAACGTAGCGGTATTTTGTGTCAAATTTTAGTTGGTGTTAGGCATGCGCGAGTTAAGCATTGCTTTTCCGAGTGTTTGTAGTATACTTCTTTTTTTCAGTTTTGTGATTTATATATTTCATCAATATGGCATCAAAGAAAGAAAAAAGTCATAGTGGCAATAGAAAACGACAATGCGCTATCGCATTTGAAAAAAATTTTGATTAAAAGAGTAAGACAATCAACTTTAGATCAATTGCTTGTTCCTCACGGAAAGTGTTCGTTTCTTTGTTAAGTTATGGCAACGCAACACTTGAGCGATCTGACTAGGGGGAATGCCATCTGGGAGGTGTTACAGACGTGGAGAAATCCCGGAAAACTCCATGTGGCCAGCCCGTCTGAGCGAGGTGCGAACCCACGAACGAAGGTCGTGTTCAAGGTACGAAGACCACTTAGCCACTGGTGGGTTTTTACCGAAAGAGACTTCGACACGAAGACTCTTCCGATGAAGTGCTACCCGTTATTTTTTTGGAGGGATTCCCGTTCTAAGCATTAATGTTCGTATATCTCCACTTTTCTGCCACCAACTACAACAAACGAAGGTATTATTAAACAAAGTTTACATGTTTGTTGCTGTAATGATAGATACTACGTTTTCCTACATTTTCATCAAAGAAAATTACTGTATATTTCAAATAAAATGACAAAAATTTCGGAGACTAGAACGGATTAATTGCATTTGCATTAATTTCTATGGGAAAAATTGCTTCGGTTAACGAACAATTCAGTTAACGAACGGAGTCGCGGAACGGATTAAGTTCGTTAACTGGGGTTCCACTGTATATATATCTAAAAAGAAAATTAAATTCTAGGGTACCTTTACAAGAAGACCTTTAGAATCGGTCATCCAAACTCTGTCAGCGGCATCCTTAGTAGAAACTCCTTCTTTCTCCATAGCCATCACAAGCAAGTCGGCAGTGCCCAAATTAGCCTATTTGTTTAAAATAACCTTATAATTTTGGACTTTAAACCAAACTAATACTATATTTTATCTTTTATACATTCTTACCTCACCTGCACCTACAAAGAGGAATGTATTTTCTACCAATTTCTTTCCTGTGATTTTCATACTTGCAAATAAGCCGGCAACAGCAACCGATGCTGTTCCTGTTATAAAAATTAATATTAACTATATTTTATATAATTAAATAATTTAGAAAAATTCACATACCCTGAATATCATCATTAAAAGTGCAGTAATTATCTCTGTATTTCTTCAAGAAACGAAAGGCATTACTGTTGGCAAAGTCTTCAAATTGGATAAGACAAAATTGTCCGTATCTGCCAAAGAAATTTATTGCAAAATGTTTAAATTTTAGCAAAAATACTTTAATAGAAGATATAAAAAAAAAAGTCATATATACTGTTTCTTCACAGCTTGCATAAATTCCTCTACAAAATTATCATATTTTTCACCTCTAACTCTCTTTTGTCTGAGACCAATATAGAAGGGATCATTCAACAATTTCTGTTAATGAATAAAATATATTATTTTTAAAATCAGATATGATTAACTATAAAGTTGTAAATTAAAATTTAAGACTTTTCTGTTTTACTATTATATAAAAGTAATGCTTAATTATATACTTGTACAGGATGTTTCAAAAATATAGCATAACCTTGGGAATAAGTTTGTGTGTAGACAATAAAAATAGGTTTTATCAACACAGGTCTGGAAATGCTTGGTTTCCAAGTGTGTTGAAGGTCTGTCTATGTTACATAACTGTCCACATCATCTTACAAAGGTCTGTCTTAGTTTTTGAATTATTAACTGGAATATCTTAGCTCTTGCAAGTGAATTCTTTCATCACAAGGATACTGACAAAATTTGGAATCATCTGATTTAAACTCACTAGATTTCTTCTTGTGGGACCATTTAAAATCACTGGTGTATTTGACTCTGGTGTCTGATATGAAAACTCCCCATGAACAAACTGTGGCAGGCTGTGAGACAATACGAAACATGTTGGGGATTTCAAATTATGTTTATGAGTCCATGCAATCTTGATGTGAAGCCTGTATTTAGGCACAAGGTGGACATTTTAAACAATGATTGTAAGACGATGTGAACAGTTGTGTGTCATATAAACACTTTCAAAACTTGGAAATAAGCATCTAGACTTCTGCTGATATAAGCTGTTTTTATTGTCTACATTTGAGGAACTCATTTCAGAGGTTATGCGATGTATTTTTGAGACACCCTGTATAAACAATGCTTATTGAAATGCTTTATTTAGTTAGATGATGAAATCCTAAATATATCTGTGATATTATTCTATTTTCTTAAGTGTTTTTGTAAAAATTTCATTTTCAATTTTTGAAATATATATGTAGTACTGGTTCAATAATAACTTGCACTTCTAGTGCTGAAAACTTTAAAGTACATTTACAAAACTTCTAGTACAAAATTACTTAGAATTTAATTATTAATAGTAGCAGCAAAATAGCTGGATTCATTACAGCAATTGTTTGGCTTATTCTCACTAACCTCATTATTTGTTCCAACGTCTAAAGTGACTGGGAGAGTAAGATAAGGAGGTAAGCCCGAAAGTGCCGTGTACAGAGACAGTTTACCGACTGGTATCCCCATTCCGTTTGCTCCAAGATCTCCGAGTCCCAATATTCGCTCTCCATCAGTAACTACAATAGCCTAATTAAATGAAATTGATACGAGTATATTAATCAGACTAAAATTTTCAATAAATTTTAATGATATATTAAATGATTTCATAGAATTCTTTTAAAAACAAAAAAAAAATAAAAATAAATTTTTCAAAATTCTTCCTTCTCAATACTAACTTTCACATTATTTGCTGGCCAATTGTCCAGTATCTCTTCAATGTGGCCAGAGTCTTCAATATTAATGAAAAGACCTCTAAAATAAGAAATTATGAATTTAATAAAATAATTATTCTTAATAGAGTACTAGCAAAAAGCACAGGAATGGTTAAATATCCTATGTTTTAAAATTATAAATAATCATTTCGTACAAAAGTTTTACTGAAGTAAAAAGAATAGCAATTAAAGATTTGAGCCACTTAATTTATTTTAATAATTCAAAATTACAAAATGCTTAGATAATCTAATACTTTTCAGATGTAAACTAAAGACAATGAGCAAATATTTATTGCAACATCGTCACAATGCTGGGCTGCAATTTTTAATCATATTTTTAATTTATTTAATTTAAAATAATGCTCTCCACCTCAAATTAATAGTGACTTACCCCTTTACATCATACTTTTCCTTTAACAATAATCGTTCCAGTCATCTAACTACTTTCAGGGGAAAATTTTTGAATTGAAATAAAATGACTTCCAATTTATATTGGAAGTTCATATATAGTTAATTGTGGACTCCTGTCTGTAAGGTTTCCTTCCATATCTGGTCTCATCTTTCATCTAACTCTGTTCTCAAGATTAAGGAAAGACGGACAGCCAAGATGACAGTGGAAATTTATAGGTCTACAATTTTTTTCAAATTGCAGCCCAATCAGAATATAAAGTCTACATGCTGGTTTGAAGAACTAGATTAGAACCTTAAATTTACAGAGACAGAATGATGAGATGTGTTAGCTTGTCCCTCATCATGTAGCTGTCTCAATCTGGGCCTAGCAGAATCTACAGTAGATTTGAAAAGAAGACTTAGTGCTTATAGAACATAAAATATTGTAAAATAAAGGTAGGCTGAAAAAGGAATTAAATCAGATCATTATAGATCTGATTTAATTCGTCTTTCAGTATACCTTTTAATACAATTTTTGCATTTCATTACAATTTTAATACCGTTTTTCTATTATTCTTAAATTCTTGTTATGTTTGGGATTTTATATCGTTATTGGGGGAGGAATCCTTCGTCTGCAAGACATCTCCTAATGTATATTAAAATAAATATATTAATTAATTCCTCAGATCAGATCTTACATCACATCAGGACTTACAGATTATTTGTAAAAATTCATAGAGATTCAGCATATTCCATGATTGATGCAACTGAGAATTAGAAAAATACTGAACACAGTACCTAAAGGATAAAAAATACAAAGAAAAATTGCAAGATAAAATGTGTATTCTAAAACATCCAGGATGAAATATATTTTTATACAATAAATTGTAAAAATACAAAATATTAAAGACTTATATGAATAAATGTATTTCTGTAGATTTTTTTTCATACTTTTCACAATCACAGGAACATGATCCACATTAGCACAGTTGAATATAGGACAGGGAAATAGCCTATAAAGAAAGGTCTCTCCTATAAAGGAAAGGAAAACTCTGTTAATGTGGATGATCTTGTGATTGTGAAAAGGACAACAAGGAAGACTACAATAATGCATTTATTCATTATTGTAGTCTTCCTTGTTGTCCTTTTATCTTGTATTTTTTACAATTGTATATTTTTATATATATTTTGTATTTTTGCAATTTGCTTCATAAAAATAAAATGTGTCAACTGCACAAGTTCACGTTTCAAACAAAACAACAGTGTGCAGGCAATACTCAAGCAAAACCTGAAAACATCTTTATTTCATCATTTATTTTCTGTAGCTTTTGTAACTAATAAATACAAGTTATTTACATAATAACAACTCTGTTAACTTATTTAGAATAGAGTAGAGTAGAATATTTATTTATTTATTGACTTTTAAAAATAAATGAAAACTGAAATATTACAACGTTCAATTTTTTCCCCTTCATTATTATTCATATAACATTAAGTAAAAACAAAACAATTACAGCATAATCAACATAACAGCATCAATGGCCATGACATTTACAGTATATTTTTGGTCATACAAACCATTTTTTTTAAACTAAGTCTTCCTAATTTCATAATAGTTCTGGATACCAATGTTGGTATTCTTATTCCTTATAGTCATGTTATTAAGGAAGGTTTACAGCCCCATTCTGTTGCTCAAGAAATCTGAATTTTTATTCTGGATTGGATCCTCAGGAATTTTCATGTGTAATTTAATACAAATACAGTCTGTTAGGCTTGACTAAATCTAAGATATGAGCAAGCAATTATTTATTGTGACATCATCACAATGCCAGGCTGCAATTTATTGTCACAATGCTCTTAATTTTAGTAATATCTTACCCCTGTACTGTACATCATATTTTTTCTGTTAACAATGGAGTCATGCCGGTCATCTATCTAAATCTGTTCAGGAGAAAATTTTTGAATTGAAATAATGTGACTTCTGGTTAAAACCAGAAGTTCATATATAGTTAATTGGGCTTCCCATATCTGGTCTCAACTGTCATCTATGCAACTCTGTCTCAAGATTAAGCAAGAACAGAGACTCAGATAGATGCCAGTGGAAATTTATAGGTCTACAATTTTTGAAAATCGCAGAAAAAAAGAAAAAAACACACAATTATCTTTGCACCTGCAAAGCAGAGTGAAAAAACTGACTTCATTTCAAAAATGTTTATGAATTTGACAATCTTCTATGGACTTATATTAAGGTACTAATAATATATTATTATTAAGTCATAAGGTACTAAAATTTGTTCTTTTGGAAGTTAAATAATAACATTTGCAGTATACAATATTTTATACTCTGCATCATTTTTTATTTTAAATAAAAAAATGAATATATTTAACCATCCCATTTTGTTTTTACTAATCATGTGTAATAAAACAATATAATTTACTAAAATTAAAATTTATTATAATCTTAATCACACTTATCAAATATTACCTTGGACGACGAAATATTATGTGGTAATTCTGGCAAGCTGTTCCCACAATTGGAGTGTATACTATTGGCATTAGTCTGTCGGTGTGTTCAGCCATGACTCGATAAAATAATTGTTCATTGTTATCCTGTTAAGAAAACACAGATTTCATTACTTACATTAATTAATACATTAGTAATAGCTGCAGTAATGGATAATATACCGTACGTTTGATAGTATTTTTTTTCATTTATTTATAAAGATATGACTGCTCATCTGCTAAAGATGTTCAGGGCTGCCAGTAAAAGTTATGGGCCCAATGACTGGTTCTAACCAAATTACCTCCATAAATATGCAACCTTTTTGATTAAGAGTTATTCGGACCTGAAGAGTTCAACCTTCTTCTGAATGTTAAACAACATTACTTGGTTTAAGCATGCTAAAGTGGCATATTTGTGGCACCAAATTAAAATTCAGTTCTATAAAATTTGAATAATCCACATTGACACTTTTCATTGCAGTTTTGAATACCACTCCATTCCAATCTTTAATTAATTTAGAGAAATCTAAAATATCATTCATTTCTAATCATTAAAATTAGTATTAAAAAAATGCCAATTAACACTACTAGTGCCAAGTTTAGTTTATTAATTATGTAAAAAGATTCCTATAATTTTTCTGATTTTTGCCTTTTGAAGAAGCTATTAAATTATGTGCAATGTTTGGTATTCTGATTATAGGTAAACAAAACTCAGCCATGTTTGTCAAAGGCATTGCTCCTTGGCAATGGATGATGGTTTTGAATCACACTTAAAGAATGAGTACTTTTCTAAATCCAAACTTAAAAAAAGTACTTGGTCTTGTTAAGTTAATCTTTTGTATACTGAAATAACACTGTGATTTGGCACGACATGTAAATTACATCAGCACATTCAGAAGTGCGTTAACATGTCATTTTGTAGAAAATATTTAAACAAACTTGTCTTACAAGGAGACCCTACGGCTTTGGGGAAACAGATTTTGATGATCTTTGGTGTAGAGGTAGTACACCATGTGAGTGTACTATCTGTAAAATACTAAAGTGCAATACTCAAATATAATCGAGAAAAACGAACTTAGTTTTTTTAGCTCTTTATATATAAATTATACGTGTCCTGTGTCCGAATTTTAATTCATAAATACTTATAATGTATTTATTTATTTACTCAAAGTATTTATGAATTTAAAAAAAGTATACATGAGAATCAAACCCGGAAACACAAGCGTACAAGTCAGGATCGTTACCACTCAGCCACAGGACACTCAAATGGAAGCATGTATAATTTATATATAAAGTGCTAAAAAAAACTAAGTTCGTTTTTCTCGATTATATTTGAGTATTGCACTTTAGTATTTTACAGGTAGTACACTCACATGGTGTACTATGTACTACCTCTACACCAAAGATCATCAAAATCTATTTCCCCAAAGCCTCCTTGTTAAATATATTTAATCTTAATTTGATATCAAAATTTAAATAATTATCATTAAGCATGCTATTGAATTCAATTTTTTTAATGAGTTTTTTTAAATTCATTGACACAACATATAAGGGCACTTTAACTGAATTTCAGTAATGGTGATGGAATTGTGTTACGTAATCTTAATTTAATGTTTCTTTTTCTAGGTATTCCCTCTCCATCTGCTGACATTTCTCCATTTTGGTAACAATTTTATGTCAACAGAATTGCAATCTTTTGTCTGGTGTTGGATTCACTGCAAGACAAACTCTGACTTTAATATCTGGGTGAATCTCCTGTCTCCCAAAGCTTCCTATAAAGAGTTAAATAGGTGACAATCGCATCAAAGACAGATTAGGAATAAACCAGGTGATCTAGAATTTCCAACCAAGTCTGTCGATTGCCTCTAATGTGCACAGGCAGTGCTCTGATACCAGCCAAAAGACTTCTATTCTGCTATAGATTTTTGCCTTTCAGCTATTGTTTTCTTCATTTTTTTTGTCTTGCTTTCTACTCTATTTCTGTAGCATCTTTTTGTTCCTTTTCTGCCATTTTCTATTCCTTTTGTTAATGCTTAATTCTATTTATTTTTCATGGCTGTATATTGTTGGCACATGCAACACTTTTCTCTAAAACAATAAACCCAGAAGTTGCATGGGTTTATTGTTTTAGAGATTAAGATTGATTAGAACTGGAGTTGGAGATATAAAAGGAGACTATGGAAAAAGAAGAGGATGAGTAGGAAGTAGTGCTCAAGGTGTGTTAAAAGTAGATGAGGTAGTTCTGTTTCTAGTTGGGAAAAAAGTGATAAGAAACGTAGTGCTATTTTATAAGTCTGACGTGTGTGTAAATTTCAAACTAATGAAAAAACATTGACAACAACAAAACTTTTAACTTTTATTGCAGTGAAGCTACAAGTGGATAATTTGGATACCTCATCACACAAAGGAATATCCTTTGTAAGTGAATCATAACTGAATTCTTATAACAATAACTGTTAGAATGTGTTTCCAACCATTTCACTCTTATATCTTTCTCTTCTTTATGTCTCTTCTTAATACTAATCTATGCAAGAAAATGTTATTGACTGGGTTGCTCTTTATGTAAAATTCGTTGTCAAGAAAAAGACTTTGTAATGTGAATACAAAACCCCTTTTTATTGCAATCCCAATTTGTCTTATTATAGCTGGGACTTATTTGTGTTAATAACTTTTATCATATTTGTAAATAGTTTTTATTAATTTATCTTGCAGTTTATTTTTCTTTTTTTCTTCATAACATTGAGCAAGGCTCAAACTGCAGTCATCAATGCAAAAATGAAGGGAGACTATCAATATGTAGGGAGAATACCTAGGAAAAACAAATTGGGACTGTGTAGTTCTATTGCTATTACTGAAATTCTGGACAGAAGTTAAACTGCCCATATAATATATTTTGTTTATTATGAAAAAATTTTTGTTTTCCATGGCATATGCATCACATGACACCAGTTCCAGTTTGACTGCTAACACAGGATGTGTTAAAAACAATTTTATTTTATACCATCCATTGTTTATTTTATATTTTAGCCTGGATCAGAAAATCAGAATATCCAGAAACTGGACCTCTTCTGGTCCTAAACTTGCCAGATTTTTTGTCCAGTACTGTGCTGATGACATGTAAGATAGTAATATATACATTATTCTCACAATTTTTACTAGTCAAGTTTAGTTTGAATGTTCTTTGTCACAGATATCAACTTAATTATGGTGAGACAGAAAACAAGAAAATTATATTGTTGAAACCCCAGAGGCTGCATATTAGGATCTTATGAGCTGTGGGTTGCTCATGACTGTGCTAAATGATGGTGCATATGTCTACTGCTTTTATCTTTTCAGCATGAACTTTCTGCATGACTACCAACATGTTATCAGTTAATGGAATACATGCATCCAGAATATGTTGTTGCATTTATGTCAGCTGCATTTTATAAACCTTTGTCTTCAGAAATCCCACAGGAAAAAATATTCATTGATGTAAGGTCTGGTTGGTGGTCTGCTCATTGGTCCATTCCAACCTACTCATTGCTGTACAAAATTGGCATTAGCCAATCCTGCACTACATGAGTGTTCTGCAGTGATGCATTACTATCCTTGCATGTTGTGCAGTGAAGCATTTGACAGTCTATTTTGGGATCCTGGTTGATGTTTTGGAATGCACTTAAAGGTTATAGTATGTACTTACTTTTTCATATACAACAACTTTGTAATTGGTACTATTGCCCTAGTTTTATTAGGGGCTGAGATTACAAAAGCTCTCTTCAATAGAAGGACTGGAAAGAATGAACATTTGTACTGTCATTTAGCAAATGTCTGACATAGTATAGATTGGCAAAATGTCTGCAGCAATTGCCTTATTAGTTCTTGAAATAACTGACCAGACAAACTTTTGTTACCACCCTGCATATAGAGGAAACAAAGAAATAACAAAGTGTCACTGGAGTGGGATTAAGACAGCTATTCCCTATCCCTAATGAGTATTTGAATTCTTATCCCTATAAAATTAATATTATTTTTACTAACAGAAGATAAAAACTTAAAATTGAAGGCAGTCTGTTGAAAAAAGAAATCAACATTTATTCAGTTTCAATGTTCCAGAATACAACTTTTGATGACCGATCTATTATTGTAGGCTACTTGTCCATCAAAATTAAAACTTCCCTTTAAAAACAGTGAAAAACATCCAATTAAAAACAAAAGTTTTAAAATTAGAGATGTTTTTGTTGAACTAGAATTGTTTTTAGGACTAGGAAAGTTTAAATTTGACAGCCAAGTAGCCTACAATGAAAGGTTGGTCATCAAAAATTGTATTCTGGAACATTGAAACTGAATAAATGGCGAATCTTTTTTCAACAGAGTGTCTTTAATTTTGATTATAAACTTAATTATCATCTGGCAATATCCTACAAGAAAATAAAATCTTTACAACTACTTTTTATTAATAAAGAAACATTCTGTGTATTTCCTTTGTTAAAAAAGTCTAAAGGGACTGCTCTATCCCTGGAACCATAAAAGCCCTCAATAGCCCTGGCCCTAGGACAAAGTCTCTCAGGCTCCTATACCCTTCCTTCTGGTGTGACACACACACAGCTTATTACACTTTTTTCTCCCTTTATGCACTTTAAATTACATAATTATAAAATCTAGAAAATCAATTTAAAATTTTATAACAGAAACTAGTCCACAGGTGCCAGAGTTACAGCTTTCACTTTGGCTCATGCTTGTCAGCTCTGCATGGCTCACATTCACAATGTTATAGATGCTATGGCTTTGTTGATAGTCTTCATAATTACCTTACAAATTTCCTATATCTTTTGGCATTGTGTTGGTTGAAGACTCTAGGACATTGAAAATCATTAATGTTTGTTCATCGTTAAAATGGTTTGACCTAGAACAGATAAAAAATTAACACACGTAAACTGGAACGATATACTACAAAACAACAATTAACACCTCAATACCACTTCCAGCAGTCAAAAGATTTTAATAATCTAACGTTTTCAGCCGTCTTTTAGAGGCCCTCCTCAGGATGAAACATTAAAAAACAGTTCTATCTTTTGAAGGATTCTAATAATCGAATACAGCTGTATTCAATTATTAGAATCCTTCAAAAGATAGTCGAAAAATAATCGAATACAGCTGAATTCGATTATTAGAATCCTTCAAAAGATAGAACTGTTTTTTAATGTTTCATCCTGAGGAGGGCCTCTAAAAGACAGCTGAAAACGTTAGATTATTAAAATCTTTTGACTGCTGGAAGTGGTATTGAGGTGTTAATTGTTGTTTGACCTAGAATATGTTAACCTTTCAACTATGTGCTCTTCTTATCACTTCATCACTAAATGCTTAAAGAAGCATTTAATACATTTCAATTGCCTTTTCTCCAAGTTTAAAATGAAACTTGATACAAAGCTTTGTTCATGAAAGTCACTTTAATTTCACAATATGATGAATGCACATCAAATAAACAAGAGTGACACACAAGTACTGACTCGGCACTTTGCCACTCGGAACAATAATTTACAAGATTTGAGTGCAATGCCTCCTACAGCCACAGCACTATATTAAGAATTAGTTTTGGCACTATAGCAACAGTGAGAATTTTCATATTTTTAAAATATAAATTTTGAGAAAGTATTATAAATTGTCAAAAATAACAATAACATTCAGGATTATGCTGCTCCTTCATTTTTAGCAATGCTGATAGTATAATCAGGAGTTTAATCTAATCATTGATGAATAAATCATGATACTTTCAATAGTAGAATTTAAATTAAATAATAAATCTCAGAATTATTCATTGGTGGAATGAAATATTTATATTTCTAATATAAAGAGCTAGATCATTATATAAAATTTAGTTTTTGAATTTTTATAGCGAGATAAATTTTTGTTATTTTAACTTGTGGAGTCGATATTAACAAGAAATACTTAAACTAAATAATTCAATCTTGACATTATATTACAAAATATCGACAGTCATCTAACATAATATATAAACGGGCAGTAAATAATATTTACAGTATTTAGCATTATTATTTTATAGCACTGTTTATTTATCTAGCTATTTTTTTTATTTATTTTTTAGATTTTATAAATATTTGAATAACGTAGATGCAAGCAAACNAGATATTAGTATCCTGTTTAATGATTGTCTAAAAATATAAAAATATAAAAATGTATCACTTAAAGATATTTTTAATAGTTTATTGCCCCGCAAGATACAGGCAAATATTGAAGAAAGATAAAAACAAGAATAAAATTATCGAATTTGAAAAAAAATTTAAATTTAATACTTGTCTTCTAATGTAAATATCATAATCTTGTGTTCTTTAGATACATAACTTATGTGCGTTACACGAAGATTACAGATAATGCGGAAATTGCACTTAAAATATAAAGGTTAAAGTGTTAAATAAAAAAAGCAGTCATTTATATGCAAACTTCTAACTGAAAGTATAGTATTGAATTATGTACGATCACTTAAAATAAAGAAATTGATACACGTAGGCGTAAAATGGAAAGTGGACTTATATGGATATATGGAACTATAAATATGAATCATTTCAAAAATTTCAGGGATATAAAACATGCAAAACTGTTAAATATTATCTGTTTATTTATTTTTTAGATTTTATAAATATTTGAATAACGTAGATGCAAGCAAACTTATTTTAGTTACTTTTTGGCAAAGTTAACATATGTTCGTTTTGGAAAATGTACATTTGTTAACTTTGCCATACATCCAGCAATTCTCCAACCTTGATCCAGAATTCTATGTTGAGGGTCATTACCCCAGATTGTGAAAGAAGTTTGTAGAATCACAGGAATGCCTTCCAAGCCTATAGGTATGCCTTGGAAGGCATACCTATCTTAAATAGGTTTACACATTCCTCTTAAATCGTTTAGTACATTAAATGGTTTAAAAGTTTCTCACTGTACATTTGATAATCCTATTATTCAGCATCATATGATAAGTGATGAAATTATAATAGCAAACTGGAGATGTAGGAGTTCAAATACTTCATTAGTATAAATATACTGGAATAGCAAGACATGGATACTTCATTAGGATAAATACAGTTGGCAATGTCAGCACAGTGAAGTTCAACACTCAAGTTATTTGTGTTTATGTGGCCATTGTAGTTGCTGCCAACTTATGACCTGGTTTATTTTCAGAATAAATATTTTTATTCTAAAAGTATTTTATTTTTTGACTTTCTTTACATCTCATCTTTCTCTCCACAATATATATATAAATTAATGCCCTGAACTGGAAATGAAAAAAGTAAGCTTTGGATAAAAATTTAAAGAAAAATTTTAATAATTTAATTTGTGTTACATTATTTTATATATTTTTGTATATTGCTTTCGTGTCTGTATCAAGCCCTTAGAAATTTTCATGATGGATGGTTTGACCTAGAATATGTTAAACTTGATTACTCCCTATCAAACTAACCATTATTATTTTGGCCAAACTCAGGTATGAGAAATCTCTTAGTGCTCACTAAGTTACAAAAAAAAAAATATCCCTGCATGAAATCAAAAGTTTTTGTTACTTTATCAGTATGATATATAATTATGAGTTTAGTAAGAATGTCAGCAAATGCCTTTATTTATAGAAAATAAAAAACTGCATAAACTTTCAGAGAATTTGGGAATATGGCCAGTATGTAGCTGGTGAACATTATTATATTAATTCACAGTTTCTTTGAATTGAAAACAGCCACTCAGTCTTCAGAATCTAAACTAAGAAGCTTGGTTCTATTTATATGCACCAGATGAACATGTTATATTATATTTAAAAATAATGTTTTAAAATAAATCAATAATAAGTTATTAAATTAACATTTTGTAGGAAAATTTGTTATAAAATAATGATGTACTTTTCAAATGGTAAAATTAATTATTGTAATAATTTTGATATGTCATTCAGGGCCACATTTCACTATTCAGAATTTGAATGGCATCCTGAAATGAATTAAATTTGAAGTACAGTCCACTGTAATTAAAATATTTTGAATGGAAAGTAAATTTAAAACTTTTATTTGTAGAAGTGTAAAGTAAAATTCCATTATCAAAGTTTTATTGAATAATACTCTCTACTAGATCACTTTTGTAAATAATCTTAATAATAAAAACTGTAAATTAAAATTATAAAATATATTTCAATATACCAACTTTACCTGCAAATCACGTAAATATATGTAACGACTGAAATCATCGCTGTATATATCCAAATTCTTCAGCACTATCTGTACTTGATCTTGCATCTTACGTACTGCTGCCGGTAATAGACCACGAAAGCCCAGATGTTCCCTTTCTTGTCGAGAGAATGCCAATCCCTAGAAGAAAACTAAATTTTTATATTTGAAGATTTTATGTTTATTATATTTATATTTCTTGTTTAAAAATGATGAACTTTTGTTACTTTTTTACTTAATAATATAATGTGTAAATTAATGTTTACAATATTTTCCTTAGCATACTGGAAATTTGAAAATTATTTCTTTTATCAGTTGAGTAAATGTAATATTTTGAATAAGTAATTGCTTCTTTCCTTTTCTAGTGTGCATTGATAATTGATAAGTTGGATAAATGATTAACTTATATATTTTTCCTACATATCTACAACATTAGGTTACACCTACAAATTCTGTAGCCTGGTATTATTGTATAAATCAACAATTATAACAAATTGACATCAAATATTTAAGTTTAGTTAATGAGAATAAAGTTTCTTTCATAAATTCAATTTCAGTATTGGAATGAAAAGTTTTAGAAAATCAAGCATTTTCAGACTATACAGTAAGGATGGTCAAACCTTGTCCTGAAAGGAGCTACAGTGAGAAAAGCCACTTGTGGCTTTCAAGACCCAATTTGGCCATCATTGCTATATACCATCAGGACTCAGCAAGAAAAATGATCATATTTATTTCTCTTGATGATGGATATATAATCCAAACCTGTTTAAATTTTCTAAAATCTTTGCTCTGAGTTTAAATCAAACTTACATTGAATGAGGCGGTTAGGACCTTATCAGGCCTGATAAGGTCCATAGTAGAAAAAAAGTCAAGGAAACTGATGTTTTATATGTGGCCCTTTGTGTGATAGACTCTCCAAAATTAGACTATCTAGAATTTTGAAGACAGAACTTTAAAACACTGAAAAATGTGGTAAATTTTAAAACTGAAAAAATCCAGAATTATTTCTTAAAATAATGCTAAAAATCAACTGTTTTTCACTTTACTACTGAAGGCTGAAAGCTCAAAACATGAGAAACAACATTGTATCGAATACTTCTGAGGCATGATCTGAGTCATGCTGCACACTCCATTAAGCCAATTGTATGAAAGTTTTGGAGGCAAATATCTTCACCAAGGGTCACAATTAGAGATATGGTTCTTTTTTTTGGTCATTTAGGGTGTCTAAAATTAGAGTCAAAACCCCTCATTCAGAAGTGCAATTTTGCCCAACAGTTAATGAAAATTCTGGTTTTATTAATTCTGACATTAAAACAATTAAAAAATGTTTAACTTGAAGATTTGTTAATTATAAAATTATTATTAATCAACAGTAATTCATCTGATATTATTTGCCTACTAGATTAACAACTGTCTTAATTAATAACTAGTGCATAGTTTAAATAAGAAATGCCAGAAATTTAAACTATTCTACAATGAGCAAGTATTGCTCAATAGACAAAACTTTAATGCTTAAAACACTGGTTAGAATGACAATGATTGTGATTTTATGAGTGTAATGAATGGGTGGCAAGAACAGTAAGTGCATCAGATGAGGAGGATGCTGAGAGGAGACCATGTATAAGAATCTGAAAAATAAATTATAAAAAGGACTGTTTTTCATCTGGAATGCATAAAAAAACATAAAAGCTTGAAGCATAAAAAGTATCGATAATTGGTATGTAGTACCAGCAGTTCCTCTTTAAAAAATTATGTTCAGCTATGATATATGCAATACCGGCAGTAATTTTTTTAGAAAAAGGGCACTGGTTATAAGGGATAATTTATTGAAACCAAATGAAGGGTGCCAAGAGGAAAAGGTGTATAAAAGGGAAGGTAGACTAGTTGTGGAATAGGAACAAGAGGGGTGCTGAAATCCTACTTTATCTGATAACAGAGAGATCAGTTGTTATCAGCCAAGTGTTAATGCTGATATTGTGAAAGACATATTTAGTCAGTTTTTTAAGCTAACTCTGATTAAGTTAGTCTGATTAGTCAAAGTTTTATAAATGTATTTTAACTTGCATGTTTCAGGGAATGCTAATTCTGATAACATCATTAGATGATAGATGATGATATCAGTGATTACAATAAGTGAATTCTATTATATTTTAGTAAGCTATTGCAAATATTATTGTAAAATCACAAATAAAATTTTATATAATTCTCATACTTGTATATCATGATTACATTCTTCAAATTGATTTTAACAATGTGCAAGAATAAACAAAAGGATGAATGCTACCGTATATTGTAAACTATTTATGTAATTTACTATTCAGATTAAAATATAATGTTTATTTGTAGAATTTATTTTTTTATTAATATTTATCATTTAATAATTAATAAGTGATAAAAATTAACTGTACTGCCCAAAGACAAAACATTCTATCTCCATAAAAATTGAGAATCAAGTTGCACACTTATCATATCTACAAGGTCTGTTCAAAAAGTATCGGACCTTTTCTTTTCCGCATAAACCAATGACGCGTGAGAGGCCTCCTTCGGTGGAGTTGTGGAGAGGACAGTCATGCAAAGCCCTGAATTTTTTCCCGCCTGCAGGAAGCGTCAGTCTTTGGCAATTGGCCTATGAGTGAGGTCATGTAGTGTGCTCTCGTCGGATTCCACTAAGCTGGAAAATGACTGAACAACGTGAGCAGCGATATTACATGAAATTTTGCCAAAAACCTTGGCGATATCCAAGCGTAAACCATTCACAAGATTCAGCAGGCTTTCGGAGACGATCCTCGAGGCCAAAAAAATGCGCGGCAGGTCCGCAGCAATATCAAAGGTCATGTTGACAGTTTTTTCGACTCTTGTGGGGTGGTGTGTCGTGAGTATGCTCCACAAGGCCAAACCATCGCAAAGGAGTACTACCAGGAGGTCCTTCGTCGTCTTTCCGATACAGTGTGACGCAAACGACCAGATCTGTGGTCGATCAAAACTTGGCAGCTCCATCGTGATAATGCATCCGCCCATTCTGCGCATCTGATTCGGGCTTTCGTCGCCAAACATAACACTCCTGTGGTTCGTCACGCTCTGTACTCTCCCCACATGGCTCCATGTGACTTTTGGCTATTTTCCAAGCTGAAAATGCTGCTAAAAAGAACCCGAATTTAGTCGAGAGAAGACATCGTGCGGAATCCAACGGACCAGCTGATGGCCATTCCAAAAGATGCGTTCCAGCAGTGTTTCCAGCAATGGCAGAAATGCTGGGAGAAGTGTATACACTACCAAGGAGACTACTTTGAAGGGGATTAGTGTTTTGTACATCAAAATCAATAAATTTATTTTTGCCGACCAAAGGTCCGATACTTTTTGAACAGATCTTGTAATTAGTATTCTTTATTGATAATGCCAATAACAAGTGTGAGAAGCATTCTGTAATTATTAGAGAACATTTTTCCTGCAGAATATTGTGCAAATCATTCTTTGATACTTACCATACAAAACATTAAAGCTCTCCAGGAAAGTTTGTTCACAGGCTAAAAACACTTTCATCTTGCAATTAATTGGGGTTTGTTAAGATTTCTAAGAAGTTTATTGTTATTGGAATTGTAGCATGTTTTATTTGATGATAATATTCGAAAGGTACATTAATTTTGCAAATGACAGGCAAGATAAAAATGCTGTTAGTCTGCAACTCAATTTTCCTAATGTAGCAAATATCAAACATAGATAATTCATTTTAGGATATGTACTAAAAGATGAATGACAACCTACCAATCAGAGCAAAAATTGACTGGGCAAATCCAAAGACAAATGTACACAAGTTTTTGTATTTATTCATTATGGAAATAGCAATTAAATGGAGTATTGAATATTATGGCTAAATAATTTACACATCTATAACTCTTAAGAAATATATCTTCAAAATACAGGTATTTCATAATTGTGAAATTATATAAGAAACATCTGGTAGCCAGGTGTTTTTTCTCACATATCATGTTAACAACCAGGTGTTTTGAACAGGTTAAGACAATAAGGAGCTTAGATGAATCAAAACATGAATTACTAATTTTTTTTTAAATTCTGAAAAATGCTAAAATAATTCTTATTAAAGCTCAAATTATACCAGCAACACTATTAAATTATTAGATGCTTCCCTGAATGTAATTTGCTTTATTTTCAGCAATGAATAAATTTTAAAGATGAATTCTTAATAGTTGTATTAATACAACTAGTATAGTGAGGTCTGTATGCTGTAATTTATGTGAGGTCAGCCAATTGGGGTGAGGTGTTTTCAACAGCCAAGCGGTCGTGTCTGTCTTGTGAGCACAGAATAACTCTCCGAGACAGGTTTACCATATAAAACCGTTTAATAATATACATAAATTGTTCTTACAATAATTCAATATGTTAGGTGAAAGCCTATCCAACGATAAGTTACTATAACAGTTCCAATAAAAATGGAAAAGTTCGACTGTTTGATCGGTCCTTGGGTATTTTCGGCACGCTGGACACAAAGAACGATGGCCCCGGGACACGCACCAGCACTTGTAGAGATGTCCTTGGTGGACGAGTCGAACCTCAACGATTCTGGACGTGACCTTGACGATTCTGGACGTGATGGGTTGGCAAAACCAGCTCCTAGGACATCGAAAGAGCCTACGTTGTATCTCTGTTGTGATCACCAAATCACAGCAGGGTAGCACTACACACCTAAACCCAAGACCTCGTAAAGTTCCCGAAAATGCGGTTTTGTCGATTTTTCCACCACAGTCGCCTCTCCATTGGTCTCTCCTCGTCACATGGTGACAATTCGAAACCCAACAAAGGGCTGGGAGAGGTCAACGTCGCGTCGGAACACGACTTCTCTCCAACCTGGTTTTCCTCAACTTTACTCTATGTATTGTTTAAAATCTTTTAACAAGACAAAAGGTTCATTGTTTTAATCCAATCTTTTAAGTTCGCTCTTTCGCGCTACAAAACATGACTCATTCAAAAAGTTGTTAATTGCCTTCCTTCGGACCCCGTTTTTGTCCTCACTTTTGACACCAATAAAATAAACATGTGAAGATTAGCACTGGAACTTCAAATAAAAAACACTTTTACCACTTTTATTAAAAGCTTACTCAGGTATAAATAATTCAGAAAGGAAC